CTTTTTGGGGTCACAGTGCTTATCAAATGCTTGCAGTATGTCTGTCAGTGCCATGCTGTCTGTGAGCAGGGTCTCAGCTAGTTCTCTGCCTTTTTCCCCAATCAAGTAATAAAACAGCTTTACTTCCCTCTGCTCATCTCTGGGTGCCACTGTCAGGTCCACATACAGAGTAAACTCTTCCTTCCAGTGTCTCCATGTTCTGTGAGAGTTGGAAGAAGTGACATCCAGTTTCTGAGGGGGTTTCAGGCCACTCTCCATAGTGCAGTCTGATAGGGACTCTGTACTTACAGTTTGCTGATTCTCTGTACAGTTCCAGTGTCACACAATCTGTATTTGTAGACAGAAGACTTGCTATTCAGAGGTTCAGTGCCCAGCTGCCACCATGTTCTGTTAGTCGATCCTGCTCAGATGCTCACACACTGTAGTTAACAGGAGACATTTTTTAGGTGCTTCTAGCTGCCATTATACATGTGTCTGCCCTAGAACTACAACCAAAGAGAGGCAATAACACAGTTGTACCAGTATCTAAGTAGTGAGACCCCTAGAGGCCATACACAGCATATAACATATTGCTACATTATCCTTCAAGGTAAGCTTAGACAAAGTGTTAACTTTCTGTCTGTTTTCATTGGTCACAAAGCACATGTAATGTGTATTTAATTATTGTGAGGTTTACATGTGTTTGTGAGACCCTTACTTGTGACACAGCAATCATAGGAGGCTTGGGTTTTGTATAACTATGCCCCTTAATCCCCTCACACAGTTTGACCACACTAAATCGTTCCCTGCACTGTGCATAACATGTAGTATTACTGCCCTCCTTGGGGTGCCCAAAGGAGTTCCAGGCCTGTTACAATCTTAGCAATGCTTTGGGGTTTGTTGATCTCCTGCTCCTCCTCTTCCCCTCACAGAGAAGAGGTGACTGTAAATCCCACTCCTGTCAGAAGGAGCTGAGGCCTGATATCTGCTGGAGGATAGATTCTGCTTTCCCCTCCCTCCAGTAGCAGCCTTCTGTGGGCAGAAGAGAGCACATTCTGAGAACATACCTCAGTGTCAGCACAGCATCGCTGGGGAATAAGGGCAGACTGGTCTTCTTCTTTTCTCCCCTTGTCATGTGACATATCACCTGACCTCAGACGGGAAGAGAAGCAGCTGCCTTCATTTTTAGCGGTTGCCACGCTCAGGGGTGTATTTGCAACAAGGCAAACAAGGTTGTTTGCCTAAGGTGGCACTTTTCAGGGGGGTGCCCCCCACAGAAGTGACAGTGGCAGCCAGTGACTGGGGAGCAGTGGAGGCAGAGGAGCAGCAGGAGCTGGGTTCCACAAGAGGCAGCTGGATAGTGTCAGACTCTCCTTTTCTGGTCCTCATCATAGCAGTGCCCAGCAGATGTCATTCTGTGAGCTCTGCCAGTGAGTGCTGGAACAGAGGAGGAGGGTGTAGAGCAGATGAGTCATCCGCGACAGGGGGGGGGGGCTGCTGGAGGGTGTCTGATTGTCTAAAATGGGGTGGGGGGGGGGGGGGTCAGCCGATGTTTGTGTTGCCTAGGGCAGCACAAAAAACAAAATACACCCCTGGCCACACTGAGTTGTGAACTGTGAGTACAGAGAGGGTGGGGTGACAAGTCAGTCCCCCCTTCCAGACCTCCCTTCTCCTACACAGCCCCTGCCCCTTAGTTATCTCCCTCCCTTTGGGCTCTTTTATACTTGTGGTGGCTCTCTGAAGAGCGATCTGAAATGGATGTCTTTGTATAGGGAATTTGACAGGCAGTGAGATTAACGCCACATAGGGGAGCGCAGTCTGCAATCTTTGCCCTGGGCACTGGATGGCCTTATCCTGATACTGCATGTGGCCACCAGAGCTGAGAGTTTATGTAGGCATCACTCCAAGTCACAGCAGGTCTGGTCACCTCTTTAGCTCTCTCCTCCACTGGAGGCAGCACTTTGCTCTTGCACTCATACACCACCATAAGGCATAGATAAAATAGCTATCATAAATAGTATTTATTGTATAGTTATCACAAGTAACAGAGTACCAGTTGATACCACACGAATAAGAACATCCTACTGTGTATGGGCCAAAAAATGGCAAAATATGCCATTAAAATTTACATCAGTTGGCGCCACTCCGAGAATCGATGTGGCGGCGTGATGTCTGCATAAACTTGGTGTAAATACGTTTTTGCTGCACAATCCCTGGTAGTATGTTCTTGCGGTGAGTTTGCATTCTGTCTGTTTGGTGGAAGGAGGCTCACACAATATGTCATTGCACAGCTGCATCGCGGTGGTGGAAATAAGATTGGCTTACTGATCTGGACTGTTATTGTTTAGTGAGGATTTTTTCATGTATATTTCATGTGTCTAAGCGCTACAATTATTGTTTACAATCCACATAAGGATTTCTTATATATTGACCTTCATCGCTATCTGCTCAACAATATTTTCTTTAGCGCTGACTTTGATATATTTTTGACATGTCATTAAGGACCTCCATTGCTGATTTCCAGAATGGCTGCAGAGAGGGGCAGGCCTATAACATGTGGGAAAAAGTACCCAATGAGGCACCACAATGTGCACACAAGGGGGCTAGAGGTTGGTTAGATACCTGGCAAGTCTCTGTTGGGTGTAATAAGCCCTATGCAGAAATATAAATTGGATACATTTGTCTCTACCAAGATCAAAGTTTATCACACAGTCCTTTAGGTCATCCTCTGTAAGGTTAGGTATATCTGTCCATTTTTGGTAGATCTAGTTTGGTGGCATAAGCTCTCTCACTCCCTCCTCACAGGATTTGACTGACAACAGCAGGAGCCTATGGCTCCCCCTTTCCTAAGCGTTTCCTGTGAGACCAGGAAGAGGGGAGCAGTAGTGCTGCAGGCTGGACAATGCTGGATCAGTGGAGTCAGGTGAGTGTTTGGGGGGTGAGGGGGTGGCACAACAAATAGTGGGACATTTTTTACCTTAACCTCTTCCTGACCGCCCTATAGCAGAAGTACTGCTACAGGGTGGCCTGGGCTGCACAAAATTACGTATATATACATGATTTTGTATTTCTGGGTAGCCATTGGCGGCTACAGCTGTCGATCACCGGGTCCCAGCCAGAGATTTCCTGCTGGCACCCAGCAATCACCGAGGAATACTGACAGGGGAGAGGTCTGTATGTAAACAATACAGATCTCTCCCTTGTCAGCACCAGCATGCTGCTTTGTATTGCCCCCTCATGGGGCCCCTGCTGACCCTGGGCCCTCGGGCAGTGCCCGAGTGCTCCAATGGTCAGTCGCCCCTGCTCCCTGGTAAAACACACACACAGCAAAACAGCACACAGTTAACCCTGTGATCACCCCAGATGTTAACCCATTCCTGCCCAGTGTCATTAGTACAGTGTCAGTGCTTTTTATTAGCGTCACTGGGGATGTCAGTGACAGTTAGTTCCCCCAGTGTCAGAATGCCCACCGCAGTCCCACAGTCCCGCTATAAATCGCTGATCCCTGCCATTACTAGTATAAAAAAAAATTCCAGTATATATACCGCCATTTGGCTGTAAATTTTCATTGGAGTGCAGTGTTGCATGACCGCGCAGCGCCGTATCACAAAAAAAATGGCCTGGTCAGGAAGACGGGTTAAATCCTCTGGAGGCCAAGTGGTTAATGCAGGAAACACATTAAGTGGTGCTCTAACTGGAACTGCCTCTTGCAGGCAAATGTATCCAGCAGCCATCTTCTCAGTCCCCTGATTCCTCTGATGATTTTCATATGAGAAAAACAGTACAACAGTGAATATTTAGGGTTCAGTCTCTAATGACATAACTGGTCACTGTGTTCAGTGTACTCTGAAGAGAAGGTACGTTGACCATATACTGTATTGGCCATATGCTGTACCTAATGATACAATGGACTAATAAGAATAATGATTTTTCCATAGTCAATTTAAAAAATAGCTTTCATTAAATGTGCAATTTAATCAATGAACAACCATTTTTCATCAGAGTAATGCTTTTATTTGTGTTAAACAAGTTAGATCATTTGAAACAATTAAATCCATAATCAAGAGATGATTCAAGTGTATGGCCGGCTATACTGCACATCCACTGCTTTTAAAGCATAACACACACAAAAGTGTAATATATTGCTGATTAACATTTCTTAGATGTGATGGCTGGATTACTTATCTCTCTTTAAGCTAAGAACGTTTTTTTTTTTTAGCAAGTAGAGAAACTACCTGCTGGTCTTGTCAGAAACACAATTACAGGCATTCTCTTTCTTGTGTAAACTATCAGTGCCATCAATTCATCATGTAATGAAAATGAACAAAGGCAGACATGTTGGAAGTCCGGCCTGTGTGACAACCATAGAACTTCTATAGATACTATGAAGAAATGAGCAAAGCCTCCAAGAAATTGTATTTTTTTTCTTTACGATCACCGGGTGAAAAAAAAAAAACAAAAAAAAAAAAAAAAAAAAAAAAAAAAAAACCACACCTTGAAAAAACCTAACACAGCCACCACATCTAAAAAAACATATATTCAATTTGCCTGCACTGGCTGCTTTTAGGTGATCCCTGAAAACTCATTCCTTCAGGAAAGCCAATCACGTCTTCAGTTAAACATTTATCACTTCCATCAGCTCATCCCCCCACAGATATAACCTTTTGTACCGCTTGCCCCCACCCTATTAGATTGTAAGCTTATGAGCAGAGCCCTCTTAATCTTGTTTTTTATTGTATTGTAACTGTACTGTCTCCCTTTATATTATAAAGTGCTACGCAAATCCTGTAGAATAATAATTCTTGTTTTGTGGTTTAGATATACTTTCATGTTTCAAGTCCTTGGTAATTTTACAAATGAATTACCATTGTTCTTGACCTCAGTGTAAGATATTTATGCAAACATTTATAATTGTACTGTACTTTCAGATGACAGCTGTGTCAGTATTCAGTTCCTTCAAGATTTTACCGAAGAGTATTTAGGAGTCCTTTTGTTGATAGTAGTCATACATGCAGCAGAACCTATTTCCTAAATACAGCCTTTTTCCAGGGCATCTGGCTGATCAGTGTATTCTACATGAGCCGGGTAGTTGGTACAGTCGTAGCAACCGCTTGTCCTTACATATTCTAGGAAGTCTGGAGCACCAGGATACACAACATTGTCTGCTAATAGCACTGATCCTTTCTTGAGTAACCCGCAGTCCTGCATAGATTGAAGAAGACAGTTAACCATCGAAAATGGCAACAAACATTGCAGGTTTCAATTATTTATCATCATAATGAAAATACCAACACTGAAAATTGCTCAAAGACACACAGGCAAGCCGTACATATTAATACTGTAATGAAAAATTGACCTGTAGTACAGATAGCAGCTAAGGCCTATTGTGTACATGAGAGTCAAACTGAATCCAAGTAGACCTTCAGAAACTCAGCTTGGCATCTCTCCCCCCACCAGGCAAACTTCTTTTCTTTGCTGGCCTTTCTCCTCTCTGTTATTTTCCTTTTTTGTTTGTTTTTGTGGATTGTGGGGGGGTCTGGGTTTTTGACCCCTTGGCCCTCTCTGGATCTACTCGACCCTTTTTTCTTCCTTTGTGCTTTCATATGGTTTGTTTCCATTAGACCAATTGCCTATCATCTGTTGTTATCTAACAAATCTATGATTTTCAGGGATAATATTGCCTCAAGAGGGCGAATCTTTGTGTTTTCTGCTGCCTTTCTTGAATGTAGCTTTTATATTTCAGGATGTGATTGTGGGCCTCCCGGCCCTCTGTTTTATACAGTGTTATCTAGACCCCAGTGTGGGCCTCATATGTGTGTTTTTGTATGAGGTTTCCCTATCCTCTATTGTCTGCTGTTGCTTTGTATCATACGATTTGTCATGTTTCTTTCAACATGCTAAATAAAATCTTTGGTAAAAGAAACTCAGCTTGGTAAGTGATATGCTACATCACTTACAAAGGTCCTCAATATAGGAGGTGAATAATAAGGACAGTCCTAATGTGCTGACATAGCTCAGAATAGACCCCATTCACATGGGGCCATTTGCAATTAGATGCAGCAGACCCAGCAGGGTTCCCTGCTACCAGCTGCAGGTGAAAGGCCCATTGATAACAATGGGAGACCAACAGCTCTCAGAACTAGTCCTGGCCTCTCATGTATTCTCTTAAGCAATGATCACTTGGGAAGGGCTGCCCCTGGACACAGAGTCACCCTTCCAGGTGTCCTCTGCCCCCCCCCCTTTCTCCCATAGCAGTGACCTCTGGTCCCCTTCCCCCCCAGCAATGTACTCTCCCCCCTTTTCCTCCAAAGCAGTGACCTCTAGCCCCCCCCCCCACCACCACGTGTCCTCCCCTCCCCCCCCCCCACCTCCCAAGGACAGGTATTTTAAAAATCTGAACTCCCAGTAGTGTGGCTGGGGATTGGGATTTTTTTGCGCGCCCCCCCCCCCCTCCTTACCCTGGTGCCCTAAGGCAGCTGGCTAAGCAGCCTTATGCTGGTGCCCAGCATACGGCTATTTAGGCAGCCACCTTAGGGCACCAGGGTAGCTGGGAGGCAGAACAATCCCCAGCCACTTGCTGGGAGTTCAGATTTTTAAAATACCTGCCTTCCAATGATCCCCTTTATTGTCCTCCTGGAGCAGCTGAGCAGGCTAACATCTCCTCCTCACCCTCCCACCAGTGTACAACTGCTGCAGGAGGAAAATCCAGGGAATCAGTTCTAGTAAATGCCTCCCCCGCTGCCCCTCCCATCCTGTTCCCCTTTTTTTCTGCTGCTTGACCCTTCCCCCAAGTGCTTCCCTTTCAACAGGGCTCCTAAAAAAATTGTGAAAAATATAAAAAAAATTAAAAAATGTAAAAATAAAACCTGCTGGACACCATCCACTGCCCTACTGACATTGTCCACTGCCCTGCTGACTGACACCATCCACTGCCCTGCTGACTGACACCATCCACTGCCCTGCTGACTGACATCATCCACTGCTCTACTGACTGACAACAACTTCTGCCCTACTGACACCATCCTACTGACTGACACTGTCCATTTTTAAGGTAAGCTAAGTTTGTATTTTTACAGTGACATTTGTTTTATTATATTTTTCTACATTTTCCTTGCTATTTAGTGAAGTCTTGCTAGGTTTTTTTTTTGTTTAATACAGCACTGAACCCTGGTAATCTTTGATCTCTTTCATGTTGTGCAGATAGATCTCCACCTTTCAAAAGTTGCCTACCCTTGTTACAATATAGCAGCTTATAGAGGAGACTTGCAACATTGTATCTTGTATGCTGATAGATCTCTTAAAGGGCCCTTTGACATGGGCTGCATGTTCCATGGATCGCTAAGGGCAGGCTGAAGTAAAACAGACTTGTGTCCATTTACACACGACTACCACCAAGTCCATCCAGGGAAAAAAAAAAATATATATTTATTTATTACAGGTACATATATAGCACCATCAATTTATGCAGCACTTTACATATATATTGTACATTCACATCAGTCCCTAACCCTCAAGGGGCGTACAATCTAAGGTTCCTAACTCACATTCATACATACACATACAAGGGCCAATTTACCTGTCAGCATGTCTTTGGAGTATGGGAGGAAACTGGAGTACCCGGAGGAAGTATTTTAAGAAAGAGGTCTAATTAAATCCTCCATAATTTCTCAGCAGTTGAAAGAATTTAAAAATGTGCCTGTGCCCAAACTATAGATGTTAAAGTGGTATTAAGACTAAAAAAAATGTGATGGCTGCATTGTTTTCCTTTTTTCTGTTTCTTTATGTACATCTTATGATCCAGCCAGTAAGTCTGTTTTTCAAAAGAACAAACTCTTTTTGCAGATCGTATCAGTTACAGGTATGAGACAAACCATTTACTCCCTGACAAGGGTGCTTACAACGATCAGCTTTTATTTATATATATATATATATATATATATATATATATATATATATATATATATATATATATAAGCCTTTATTCCAAGGAAAGTTTGGATTTTGGCTTCGATTTGTTAGTGTATTTAAATATGTTGATCCATCTAATGCTCCCCTTCCACCCAGACTGACAATACTGCCTTCCCCTGTGCTCCTTCATCCAGCACGGGGCATCACCAGGTGAAATCAAAGAAAATATAGCCTAAGAAAAGAAAACAAATGCAGCCACCACATCTAATGATTATAAACTGCAATATATTACATTTTGGATTTAATAAGTAACTAAGTGAAACCTGCATTTTATGAGCTCATTCAGATGGGCAATGAGCCCCTTCCAACGTGCAGTGCCACTTTTTTACTGTGTCTGCATTCACCTTGGAGCTGTGTACAGGATCCAAAACACAAAATTCTGATCCGTGCACCTTCTCCCGTCAAATGTAGACATGCGACTGTCTGTGCTGCTGCTGTGTCTGCATCCACTTCTATGGACTGAATGCATGCAGCTCCGAGGTGGATGCAGACACAGAAAAAAGTGGCTCTGCATGGAGAATGGGACTCACTGCCTGTCTAAAAGAGCCCTAGCACACAACAGTGTTAAAGTGTTACTAAACCCAGGACCCTGCATTCACTATATCTGGTCTCCCACAGTACACACAACATGGAAGTGCAATTATTTTAGTAAATATAAAAGGATATAAATACCTTTTCTCATCAGCAGTTAGAGCAGTCTTGTGACTTCTATTAGTGTCCAGCAGAGCACATGTTGAAGCTTGTAGGAATTTTCTTTCTGCTCCAAGAGGATGCAAAACCCCTGACCTCTGTCTGGACAGTGCTGATTGGCCCTGTGCTGATCACATGCACTCTCCCAAGAAGAAAAAAACCTCTCTAGCAATACACACTAAACTGAGCATGTGCAGAATGACTACAGTTCAGTATATCTTATCAGGAGACACAAACATTTCAACAAGAGGAGCAGAGAAGTCAGGATCAAATGGCCTTTACACAATGCGGAGGATTAACCCCTTAGGTTCCACAGTGAGTATAACAAGCATGCTTTACTGCATATACAGACTGATTTTACTGTTGTGTGTCTAGTAACACTTTAAATCTGTGAAGGAAACAGTAAATGAATTGCATCCTGGAAGACGGACACCTAGTCTGAAATTAGTCAACATTCTAATAAGAGCAACATTTGGACCATGTACCCCAGGGCAGCTCATATTCCGTCAAATGTTTTCCAAAACAATTTTTCAGCAGTTGTATTTAAGATACTTACTTCAAGTAATTTGGTATCCACAAGGTATCTGTCCTTAAAATGGTCCATAAATACAAAGTCGACATGCACCACACCATAATCGGTTCTTAGCCTTGGAATGATATGCTCTGTGGATCCTTCTAATATCTCTATCTGGAGACACGAAATGCATTGTTATAGAATGTGATTTCATATTGACACAGTTATGGATCTTTTAGCAGCTTTTCCATCATCAGAAAAACACAAATGCAGGGAGCATCATTGTATACACAATAGTAAATATTGATAACATGAGCAAATGATTTCTATGGCCTCTTCACACTGAAGCTTGAAAAAGCTCAGTACAGCATTTTTTTTTACTGATCTAAAATGCAGCCCGTTGTTTACAATGCGCCTGTACACATATGCGCGTAAACAAGCGCTGCATATTCTGGAGTATGAAATTTTTAACCATTTACATTCCTGGTCAGTATTTTGCACCAGTGCACGCAAATACGCGCATATGAGTATAAATACTGATTTTGCCTAGGAACGTATATGCACGTATATTGATATGTGCAAAACAAACACCTGAAATTATGTCCAGAAATGCTAATGCTCAAACATCAGTACCCTGTGTAAGAGGCCTAGGACTATGATTAACAGCAGCGGGAGCCAGTGGCTTCTGCTGCTCCGGCCTCAGCCAGTCAGGAGAAGAGTCCCTGGAGAACCGAGGCTCTCGTGGACATCCCTGGATCGAGAGGGGGCTCAGGTAAGTGCTAGGAGAGCTGCTACACACAGAAAGTTTCTTACCTTCATGCATAGAATGCATGAAGGTAAAAAACCTTGAGCCTTTAGGACCACTAAAGTAACTGCTGTCTGACAAAGTAAAGCACGCTAAAAGATCTAAAAAAGCAACACATCTAAAGCAATTCAAGAACATATGAGAAACAAAGTAATTGACATGTATCAGTCTGGAATGGGTTACAAAATCATTGCTAAGGCTGTGGGACTCCAGCAAACTATGGTGAGAGGCATTATCCACAAATAGAGAAAACTGTGGTGAACCTTCCCAGGAGTGGCCGACCTACCAAAATTATTTCAAGAACACAACAACTCATGCACAAGGTCATAAAAGAACCCAGTACAATATTTTAAGAACTGCAGGCCTCACTTGCCTCAGTTAAGTTCTGTAGTCAAAAATCAATAAGTAGGAGACTTGGCAAAAATTACATCCATGGGAAAGCTCCAAGACGAAAGCCACTACTGACCAAAAAGAATACAAGGGCTCATCTCATTTTGCCATTTTGATTATCCAAGACTTTTGGACAAATATTCGGAGAACGAATGAGACAAAAGTTGAACGTCTTGGAAAGTGTGTGTCCCGTTACATCTAGCATAAAACTAACACTGCATTTCATAAAAAGATCATATCAACAGTCAAACATGGTGGTGATAGTGTGATGGTCTGGGGCTGCTTTGCAGCTTCAGGACCTGGACAGCTTGCTGTAATTGAGGGAACCATGAATTCTGCGCTCTACCAGAAAATACTAAAGGAGAAAGTCCAGCCATCAGTTCGTGACCACAAGCTCAATCAAACTTGGGGTTATGCAGCAGAACAATGATCCAAAACACACTAGCAAGTCCACCTCTGAATGGCTCAAAAAAAACACAAAAAACAAATTGAAGATTTTGGAGTGGCCTAATTTAAATTTGATTGAGATGCTGTGGCATAACCTTAAACAGGACGTTCATGCTTGAAAACCCTCCAATATAGCTGAATTATAACAATTCTGCAAAGAAGAGTGGGCCAAAAGTCCTCCACAGTCATGTGAAAGACACACTGCCAGTTATCGCAAACATGGTTGTTGCCGCCAAGGATGGTACAACCAGTTATTAGGTTTAGGGAGCAACTAATAAATGAAATCATTTAAAAAGCTGCATTTTGTATTTATCTGGGTTATCTTTGTGCAATCTTAAAATATGGTTGATGATCAGAATCATTTAAGTGTGACAAATATGCCCCAAAGAAAAAAAAAAAAAAAAAAAAAAAAAAAAAAAAATCAGGAAGGAAGCAAATACTTTTTCATAGCACTGTAAATTGACCCTAATATGTGTATGTATGAAGGTGAGTTAGGGACCTTAAGGACCTTAGGTTGTAATTAGAGATGAGCGAATCGAACATGACGAAGTGGAATTCGTTCCGAAGATTTGGAAAAATTCGATTCGCGACGAATCCGAAGATTAGCAAACTTCGGATGCACGAATCGAATTTTCCCAAAAATGGCGGCGACATGTGTAGCGACAGGAGAAAATGGACAGAGAAGATGGGGCGGGGATCTCTGGGAAGGCGCGCAGACAAGGCGCGCTGACCCATAATGCATTCATGAGTCATGAATCATGACATGTGATCGCATTAGCCAATCAGCAGCCAGCCAGCACTGTGAAATGGTGGAGCTATAAATCGCGGCCATCTTAGAATTCTCCATTAGCCTCCGGTCATTCAAGAGAGACAGACCTGTCTGTATTAAGGGACAGAGTTAGGGCCACAGAGACGTTACTCAGGGACACAGAATTGTTACTCAGGGACACAGAATCGTTACTCAGGGACACGGCTATCAAAGAATCGAAAATTTAAAGTGACATACACCCTTTTTTTTTTTGGTGGCTGTCGTGCACAGTTGGTGCTGCAGTTTGCCGATTGTGCAAAATAAACTGACTTTCTGCTTCACAACCACTATTGTACGTTCAAAGAGTTAAATCCATTTACACGCCGGCTGGCGGTAATATTTTTTGGGTGATTAGTGCATTCCAGTGACATAAACGTACAGTTTACAGCCAACGGCAAGCTGCAATTGACCGATTGTGCTAAATAAACTGACTTTCTGCTTCACAACCACTATTGTACGTTCAAAGAGTTAAATCCGGTTTTATTTTTGGGGTGCTTATTGAATTAAAGAGTATGTCGACAACACGCAGAGGAGTGGCAGAGGAGGCAATGTTTCAGGAGAGAGCAGACGTGGCAGCAGAGGAAGGGGTCGAGGCAGCACTAGTCGCAGCCAGAGGCCAGTGCTCCCGGTGTCATCCAGCGGTCGAGTCTCCACCGACAACCCTGCCGTCATCGATTGGTTGGCTCGGTCGTCTTCCTCTTCCCAGGTCACCTCTGACACCTACAGCCAACGGTCGGTGGGTACGTCAGACACAACCGTTAGTTGGCATGGCCCGGGAGCAAGCCCACTGAAATCACGTGTCCTCGACCTGCCCCTGTCCTTTGGTGTTCCCTCACCAAGCGAAGTATCACATGCTGTGGACTCAGCCCCACTGTACAGTGAGGAAGAGCTAACAGAGGGCGGTCAGGAACGGGGGGGGAGACATCCGCTTCTTCAGCAGCCAGGCGAAGAAGTACTGGCGAGGAGAGTGGCTCGGTAGCCGGTCTAGAGACAGGTCTGTCTCCTGACCCACACGCAGCCGAGGGGGCTAGTAGTGACGCGGAGACCCTAATTGATGATGATGAGGCTGATCGCACTTGGCAGCCTCGTCGTCATCAGGCTATTGCTTCCGCATCATCAGAAGAAGAGGGTGCCAGCTTGCCAGCGAGCAAAACAGTCGGTGGGTTGCCCAGGAGGCAGCAGGGTCGCAGCAGTGTCAGTGGAGCCAAACGGCCACGGAGTAGAGCACCAGCTCCACTGCAGCCTACCACCACGGCCAGTAGTGGTGCCGGTGTGCACGGAGGAAGTAGCAGTCAGCCAGTGAGGAGTAGCGGGGGCAAAGTTTCCTACTCGGCGGTGTGGCAATTTTTCGTCACGCCGCCCCGAGGAAGTAAACGAAGCCGTATGTCGACTATGTGGCCAGAAAGTCAAGCGTGGCCAGGGGGCCAATGTTGGGACTACAGCGTTGCGTCAGCATATGCAGCGTCGCCATTCGGTGACCTGGGAAAACCGTGATAAAGATATGGCGGTTCTGCCTGCCCCAGCCCCCGCTCCATCACCCCCTCCGTTACTTGCTCCGTCACCCGACGTCAATCGCCCTCTATCAGCCAGTCAAGGCTCCAACACCTCTGCTGAGGGGAGTTGTCGCTCGTTGGCATCTCCCGCTCGTTCTGATGCTCCTTCTCCTGCTACTCCTCTTCACGGATTCCGTCAGCAGTCTTTCTTGGAATCCGTTTCCAAGAGACAACAGTTTGCGAGCACGCACCCGACGGTGCAGAAGCTGAACGTCCTCCTGTCCAAGTTGCTGGTGCTGCAGTCCCTCCCTTTCCAAGTGGTGGACTCAGCACCTTTCCGAGAAATGATGGCTTGTGCCGAGCCGCGTGGAGAGTGCCAAGCCGGCATTTCTTCGCCAAAAAGGCAGTGCCAGCCCTGCATTCACATGTAGAAGAGATGGTGGGCCAGTCTTTGAGCATGTCGGTCTCTGCCAAAGTGCACGGCAGCGCCGACGTGTGGAGCTGTAACTACGGTCAGGGACAGTACATGTCATTTACGGCCCACTGGGTGAACGTGGTGCCGGCCAGCCGCACCAGCAACTTGGACAGGTCACGCCGCTTTTGCCTCCACGTTTGCACGTCCTTGGTCCAGCAAAGATGTCCGCCTCTACCACCTCTTCTTCCGCCGTGTCCTCAGCCACCACCCCCGTGCCAAGTCCCATTACCCGACCGGCACATCACATGTGCAGGGCGCAACGGTGTCACGCTGTGCTGCACCTGGTATGCCTTGGCGAACGTAGTCATACAGGGGAGGAACTTCTGAGTGTAATGAACAGAGAAATCGACAGATGGCTGTCTCCGCACAAACTGAAAATCGGAACCATGTTGACCGACAACGGAAAGAACATGGTGTCTGCTCTGCGTCAAGGAAGGTTGTGCCATGCGCCATGCATGGCTCACGTGTTCAATCTGGTTGTCAAGCGGTTCCTAAAATCCACCATCCCACTGCAAGACATCCTTAAAATGTCACGTAAACTTTGCATGCATTTCAGCCATTCCTACACCGCAAAGCACACCCTCTTGAGCTGCAGCGGCAGAACGGAATTCCACAGCATCGCCTGATCTGCGATGTTGCAACAAGGTGGAATTCAACCCTACATATGTTAGACCGCCTTTACGAACAGCGAAAGGCCATCACCGATTTCCTGATGTTACAAGCGGATAAAGGTACTCCCCTGTGTAACTTAGATGTCAGCCATTGGCAGCTCATGCGTGACACCTGCCGCTTGCTCAGGCCCTTTGAGGAGGCCACGCTATTCGTGAGTCGGCAGGACTATGGGATGAACGACGTCATTCCTCTGTTGCACGTCCTGGAACAAATGCTGTTAACAATGGCTGGTCAGGGTGCGGTAGACGTGGCGCACAGATCTCAACGCCACATGACCCCTGTGGGGGCAGGACAGGAAGAAGAGGAGGAGGTAGAGGAGGACATTGGTGCTCAGGAATAATTGAGTGAAATGGGTGGTTTTTCCACTCAGCGGACAGGAGTGGAGGAGCAGGAGCATCTGGTAGAGGAGGAGGAGGGGAGACAGAGGACCCAGACGCACCGTGGCAGTATGCTGTGGAGATGGAGGCAGGGAGTCCCTCGCATTCCTTGGCACAAATGGCCCATAGCATGCTCGGTTGCTTGCGTAGCGACAGCCGAATAATAACCATCAGACAGAGGGATGACTTTTGGCTGTCCACCTTGTTGGACCCTCGCTACCTTTCAAAAATGGTGGCCTTTCACACCTGCTGAGAGGGAGGCCAAAATAAAGTACTATAAAAACCACCTATGTAGTCATGCAGTATATAGCCCTATCGGCCACTTTCTGGCATCCAGTTGCTGTAGCCCCCATCACCACACTGTGCCACGGGCCCCTGTACCGCCTTCTCATACTGCTGCCAGATCCATCCTCTGCCATGTGCGTCTTTGTCGTCTGCTCACGCTGCTGGGTTCCAGTTTTAAACCTAGGCCTGTGTATGGCTTCCGAATACTGCTGCCTCCACCGCCACCCTGCGCCATGTGCCTCTGTCGTCTGCTCACGCTGCTGACGGCTTCCGCTTTTTAAACTAGTCCTGTATGTCTTCCGAATACTGCTGCCTCCACCGCCACCCTGCGCCATGTGCCACTTTCAGGTCTCCTTACACTGTTGGTGGGTTCAATTTTGTGATAGGGTGCTGTATGGCCTTCCATTGCTGCTGCCTCCACCGCCACCCTGCGCCATGTGCCTCTGTCGTCTGCTCACGCTGCTGACGGCTTCCTCTTTTTAACCGAGGCCTGTGTTTGGCTTCCGAATACTGCTGCATCCACCGCCACCCTGCGCCATGTGCCACTTTCAGGTCTCCTTACACTGTTGGTGGGTTCCATTTTGTGATAGGGTGCTGTATGGCCTTCCATTGCTGCTGCCTCCACCGCCACCCTGCGCCATGTGCCTCTGTCGTCTGCTCACGCTGCTGACGGCTTCCGCTTTTTAACCTAGGCCTGTGTATGGCCTTCAATTGAAGCTGCTTCTGCTCCGCCACTCTGCCATTGGACTCTTGATAGTCGTCTCCCCACGCTGCTGCTGGGGGGACTTTTTAACATAGGCCTCTGTATGGCCTTCAATTTTAGCTGCTTACGCTCCGCCACTCTGCCATGGGCCCCTGTACCGCCTCCTCATGCTGCTGCCAGGCCCGTAATCTGCCATGGGCCCCCGTACCGACTCCTCATGCTGCTGCCAGGCCCGTAATCTGTCATGGGCCCCTGTACCGCCTCCTCATGCTGCTGCCAGGTCCAGAGTGCGTCATGGGTCCCTGTACGGCCTCCCATTGCTGCTGTCTCCATCGCCACACTCTGCCATGTGCCACTTTCAGGTCTCCTCACACTGCTGGTGGGTTCCATTTTGTCATAGGGTGCTGTATGGCCTCCCATTGCTGCTGCCTCCACCGCCACACTGTGGCTCCACACTCTGGTTTTGGCCCCGTGACTGCCCAAATGAGTGAAGTGTGCGGTGATTCTAAGATCGACGGCACTCATCTGCATGTCATACTGACTGACAGTATTATTTCTCTTCCCCAGCAGACTCCAAGGGCATTTAAATTAAAGGTACAGTGTTCTGCACTAATATAAAGGCTCTCTGAAGCCTAGAAACACCCTTTTTATAAGTTAAATTCGCAGCGAATATATTCGGCACGAAGCGAATTTAATCGGCGAATTCGGCGAATCAGCCGAACCGAATTTTTGAATAATTCGCTCATCTCTAGTTGTAATCTCCTTGAGGGCAGAGACTAATGTCAATGTATAATGTATATACAGTATATGTAACAGGCTGCATAAATTGTTGGCGCTATATATAAATACTTGTAATTAATAAGCCGTGAAGTTGTTAAGCATCTACCATATATTTTGGCATTTTTTTTGGTCAGGTAATGCTTTCATTATATGGCAACATTATATCATCTTTTAACAGCAAATTTCCTAATCTGATCAAGTTTTTTTAATGTTTTATATACAGTATACCTTATCCTTGAGTCCAGCAAATTCAATCATCTTCCTTGCCACAGCAGCATTAACTGGGTTAATTTCGATGGTGAAGAAACGGGCGCTAGGCTTTAGTAACTGGGCTATGCGAAGAGCAGAATACCCACAGTATGTGCCCAGCTCCAGCACCAGGGATGGGTTCGTTTCTTTGAACACCTTATCCAGGATTAGGCCTGTTACACAAATATAAAAGCTGAAGCATATTCACCACAGAAATAGTTAGCCATAGCTGGAAACTACGATGCAAGGTGGAATAAAGTTAGCATTTAGTAAACCAAGCTAGATTAGCATGTTTTTTTTACATGTTTAGGTTTAAATGTGTGCCTGTGTTTAGAATATTATAACAATCCCAGGGGCCTATTTAAAATGGAGAGCGATATCTATTTTCTGCATGCCATCAGTGTAATTTAAAACACAAATTTTGTCCGCATTTTACTTGTTTTATGAAATGCAGAGCACAGTATAGAGCCTCCAAAGTCCTCTGAGTGTTCTCAGAATGCAGACAATGCACCCAGATAACAGGATAGCGATATCACGTCCTTCAAAGTCACAGGACAGATTTCCTCTTTCTGGCAAGTTTTCTCATGCATTAGAACAAAAGTGGTTTCACTTGTTTTAGAGTTCCAAAGCAAGCTAGGCACAGTCTCTTAGAACAGTAACAGATACCTTTGGATAACTTCAGTCTGACAATTTGACACATAATAACCTTCATTTTCTAGAACATTAGCCTGAAAATATTCTTGAGAAAGCCATTTGATTTTGGTCAGTTCTGAACCCGAAAATGTCGGTACCAGAAAACGGGCTTTAGCTGTGGTAATACAATTACGGATGTTTCGGTGATAACTAGTTCACATTTTAGCAGGTACTGTGAAAGTTTACCAGAAGGACTTTGGAAAAAATAACTTGTATTTTGAGCTTTGCAGTCACGTAATAAACTATAACTCTTCCATTTTAAAGAGTAATACTCATTTGAAATATTAAAGTAGAACTATAGGCCAAACATTTCTTTTTCATTTTGGATGGAGTAAGAGAGGGTTATAACCCCTGTCAAATTTGTTTTTGCCATCTGTTTACCATTGGGGAGATTTCCCTTCAATTCCTGCCAACTGCCAAAACAGGAAATGAGAGGAAATCCCTGTAAATTAAAGGAAATCCTTGGGGCCCCCCAGGTCACCAGAACTAGTGTCCTCATTGGAAGATTTCTCCTCTATTACCTTTCTGAGGACAACCCAAAATGTTGGAATTTCTTTTACTTTCAATGATAATGGTAAACAGGACAAATAGAAAGGGTGAATCTCTCTAACGGGGGCACAGACAGCAATAAAAACTGACAGGTATGCTAAACCCACTATCCAAAACAAAAAAATAGTTTTGCCTTTAGTTATACTTTAAAAGCTATATTAAATATTAAACCCATTTATACCTAGTGCAGATGTCTGACACATCAAACTATGTTGGAGTTGAGAAGTTGTATGTGTATTGTCCTGACAAGTTGAAAACCATCTTTATCTCTCTATGTCAAACACATGTAATATGTATTAATAAAAGTCAGTCCTGCATTGACTATTTTACCTTTCATTGCTCTCTTTTAAGCATACAATACAAAACACATGACAGTCGCTAGCAGCAACACCTAGTCATATATTTGTTTTGCACATAGTATTCATATAGTTTGATTGGTAAGCATGGGATTGTGTTATATACAATACCCATGTTAACATAATATTGGGGGAATTCAGTAAAGATCTACCAACCTTTACAATGGCATGTGGCAGATTTAAAATTCGCTATCGTGTGGCAGATTCAGATTGAAGTTTGTTTAACCACTTCCAGACCGGACACTTTTACCCCCTTCCTGACCAGGGCAATTTTCAGCTTTTAGCGCTATCACACTTTGAATGACAATTGCGCAGTCATGCAACACTGTACCCAAATGAATTTTTTACCATTTTTTTTGAGACAGATAAAGCTTTATTTTGGTGGTATTTATTCACCACTGGGATTTGTATTTTTTTGCTATGTAAATGAAAATGTCCAAAAATTTTGAAAAAAAGTGTTTTTTTTTTATAAACTTTTGCAAAAAAATAATATTTCATCATAAATCTTAGCCAAAATTTATTCCGTTATCTTTTTAGTAAAAAAAAAAAAATCCAAATTAGTTTATAAGCAAAAATTATAATTTTTAAACATTTTTATTTTTTTTTTTTTATTTTTTATTTTTTCTTTTTCTACATACTGTCACCCTAGCAGTACAGTGTCACCATGGTGACACTGTACTACTTGTGGGGGGTGATGAAGATTTTTTTTTTTTTTTACACTGATTGCTTTTACACCCATATAGGATGTAAAAGCAATCATTTCTCTCTCTCTGTGTGCATTCTTGCACTCATTGAGAAGTACTGAGTGAGCTGTGATTGGTCACAGCTTGTCACATGGTACAAGGCTTTTGTGAATAGCCTTGTACCATGTGACCTCTGTGATCATTCACAGATTTCACACGTAGTAAGCAATGATGTCAGAAGTGACATCTTGCTTACTACTTTGCATGTGATCACTGATTGGCCAATCAGTGATCACATGATTGGGACCTCGTACAGAGGTCCCGTCCGACGATATGTGTTTCACTGTGTCCGGAGGACACAGCGGGCACCGGATCGTGGTGCTGCGCGCTCCCAGGGAGCGTGCACAAGCAGGGTGCGGGGAGGCCGTTTATAAACGGCCACCTGACCCTGCAGTGCCACCGTCCAGCCGTTTATATACACAACGGCCGGTCGGGAAGTGGTTAAAACAAAAATTCAATCCTGGTTGCTGCATCTTTAATGCCCTTACAAAAAATGCATGTTATATAGAGCAGTGTTTCTCAACATTTTTTCGGTCAAGGCACCCTTTTAAAATTGACAATCCTGAGGCACCCTTTAAAATTATAGACAGTCTTGAGGCACCCCATTCTAATATGGGGTGCCTCTAGACTGTCCATAATTTTAAAAAGGCACCCCATTCTAAAATGTGAAAAACTATTTTAATAGTTTTATACAACACAGCAACATCCACACATGTAGGACACCCAACATTAGAGGTGATTTATTCTTCCAAAGCAAATACACTTTTGTACACTGGTACTGACTAGTATTCCAGTGTTTCTCTTCTCCCTCAGTTTTTCTCCATCACTGAGCTAATGTGACCCCCAGCACTGATGGAAAGGGGTGGGGGAGGGTGAAACTTGGATGCTGTGCAGGCAGCTGACATCCACCTTATCATCTGATGTCATTGGTTGTCAGGACGCAGGCAGCTAGAAGGTCATAATGGTGCACAATGGGAACCTGTGGCTTTGTGTAACTAGAGGCAGGCTTGATCCACCCGCTGGCTCGTATACAAGTTTTGGGCAGTTTTTTGACATTTTGCCAAGGCACCCCTGAAGAAACCTCAAGGCACCCTGGTTGAGAAAGGCTGATATAGAGTTCAATGAGAACAGGCCTAAAACACAAGAAAAACACACTACACTGAAGTGAACTAGCTCTATAGCTATTCTATGAGCATATACTTATAGAACACAACCTAATAAGTCCTGTTGCATATTACCTTTCTCGTCTCCCACATTCATGGCCCATTCCTTCTGGCTGCAATATTTATCAATATGATCCACGACACTTTGAGGGTCACCGCTCACTGCATTCTGCTTCACAAACTCCAGGATCCTGTGTTCCTTCTCTCCAGCCATGGATGCTACAGAGCTTCTGTTCACCGATGTCTATCTGTCATATAAACAGACATAGCACTGAACACATTTAACTTACTGTTAAGGAACGTATGTCAGGGCTGTGTACCAAACAGAATTTATCAGCAACAAATCAATATATACAAATATGATGAAATTTGGAGAGTACAGTCCTAATGAATGTTGCTGAAAAGTCCTTCCTTTAACCACTTGCCCTCCAGAGGATTTACCCTCTTTCCTGACCAGGCCATTTTTTGTGCTGCATGATTTTAGCTGACAATTGTGCGGTCATACAATGCTGCAGCCAAATGAAATTTACGTCCTTTTTTTCCGACAAATAGAGCTTTCTTTTGGTAGTATTTGATTGCCTGTGAGTTTTTATTTTTTGCGCTATAAACAAAAAAAATCCAACATTTGAGGAAAAAAAAAAAACTATATTTTTGACTTCTTGCTATTAAATGTCCAGTAAAAAATGTTGCCATAAATTTAGGCCAAAATGTATTCTGCTACATGTCTTTGCTAAAAAAATATCCCAATACGTGTAAATTAATTGGTTTAAGTGAAAGTTATAGCATTTACAAATATATATACTGGGCTGGACACTGATAGAAGTCACAAGACTGCTCAAACTTCTGATGAGAAAAGGTATTTAGCAGTTTATATTTGCACTTCCATGTTCTGTGTACTGTGGTAGACCAGATATAGTGATTGCAGGGTCCTGGGTTTAGTAACATTTTAAGACCTCCAACTCATCACAATTGCTTACTAAAATACACATCACAACTGTATACACATCAGCCTGACATGCTTCCTACTCATACAGAGCTACAGCGCTGTAATCAGCAAAGCTTACTCTCACCTAGGCTCCAGTTCAGGGGTTAGACTTCCAACATTTTTTGTAAACAAGCTGGTAAGAAAAATATAGAAGGTATGGTGTAAGTTAAACTCTAGCTTTAAAGCACCATTGATAATCCAATATATGTAACCTGAGCCTAGGAAAGGAAGGGGCAGTACTGCAAATGAATCATTGCACAAAGCCTTTTAAACACTAAGGCCACTTTTACACTATTGGGGACATTCATTTTTATAGGCACTCTAATGCACTATTACAACGCACCTGCACTGCAGCACTTTTTTTAAGGCTTTGGGTGGAGTAAAGGATTATAACCCACGTTAGGGTTTTTATTGATGTGTCTGACCCCACTGGGGAGATTCCCCTCTCTAATGGTTCTCATGACCATGGTCATCAGGACTTAAAGTGATAGTGATCACTGTAACTGGACTCTTCCAATGGGAAACTTGTTCCAGAGACAGCCATCTGGAAGGTTATTTCCCCCACTTTGGAGAGGTCTCCTTTTACTGTCAGTTTTGCTTTGGGACAGAACAAAGGAAAGTCTCCCCAATGGGACACACAGTCAAAAAACACAGAATGGGGTTTTAAGCCTTTCCTACTTATACTAAAACATAACCAAACCCCAGGGAGTAAATGTTTGGAGTGTCCATGAAGGTGCTCATTCATCCAGGTCATGGTAAAGCAGGATAGCTTGAAGTTTGTCTTTCAAAAGGGACTTGCAATGAAACATCTTCAACATTACAAAATATCTCCAATGGTATATTTTCTAGATTTGTTTTACTGAATCAAAGTAGAAATGATTAGTACTTCTTTTTAAATTATCAATTAGACTGTGTAAACTTTGCCAATGAGACTAAGGAATCTGCAAAGATTGTTTGGTATCCGGATTGTGTGTGTAGAGTCTATGGGCACCTTTAGTATTGGGAAGCTCGGACAGTTTGACCTTTTAATGCTTCTTAAGGACCACAGCCGGGAAATACTGCAATAACCTACAATCAAATGTTATTTCTTCAGCAACTGCACAGCCTTTTTTTGCACATTTTGTTTAACAAAACCCATGCAGGTACACTAAGTTGCTGGATCTGTACAAGATATCCATCTGAACTTCCATTCTATGAGGACATTGAAGCTTTGACTTCTAGGCATCTTCAATGACTTTGTGTCTCTTATTCATACGCACACTATGTTCCTACTGATTTTCTGTCAAGCTGAGAAGGCCAGTAAAAGATAAATGTAACTTCCATGCAATCATTTTGACCTGTATCCTTAACATAAGGGTAGAGTAACATGTGAGTGTTGTTTGTAAGTCTATATGAATGCATGTAGTTGTACCCAAGGTCCTTAGCTCTTTTCTGGCTTTGCACAGCTACCCTATTTTTTTTTTTTTTTTTTTCCAACACAGTGGTTACCGTTTCTGTTGTACTCTAAATATGCAAAACTAAATAGCACCTTAAAAAAAAAAAAAAAGTTAGGTGGCTGTTCAGCCAGCACAACATGTACCACCCTATGAAGCAGCCAATTGCATTTTGAGGGTAAAAAAAATCTATACAAAGTCGAATATTGCTAGATTTCAAAGTCATTCTGTATTTCATTAACAGAAACAAATATACTATGATATACAGTAGTTCACTTATGCAAACATTCGATCCTGCTGACTAGCATATCTAAGAAACCAAACATTGTGTGACTTTTCAACAGACACTGCACTGCAATAAAGCGAATATTCTAGGACTCCAGATATTAAAGCAGCGTTGCTCTCTTCTCTTACTTTACTTTGGTGAATGGCAAATGGAGTGCGTTCTACATGTGGTCTGGATCGCACAGGAACTTGTTAGCATGTGCGGGCATGGTGTTAACCAGTCCTTACACACAACATAATATTTGCTTTCATGGTTTCTTTGTTCTACTTGTAAATGGTAAAAATTCAATCATTTATTGAAAAAAAAAAAATAAAAAAATTAATGTCCAAATGTAGTGGAGACAATTTTCTATACTGTCACATGATGTGCTGGAATCTGTAACTGGTATACAGCAGTCATAAAGTTATAAAGTGATGCCAATTTCCCTTAGTCAAGATGGCGGCGCCAGCACCCGATAACCGATTGAAGAATCAGCTTGGGGTGAGGACACCGCTGGATTCCTAGACAGGTACATAAGTTCCCTAATATTAAAAGTCAGCAGCTACAGTATTTGTAGCTGCTGACTTTTAATTTTTTTTGGCAGGGGGGCCAGGGACTGGATTCCACTTTAAGCACAACACAATATCTACACACTATTCTGTTTCATGGTTTCTTTGTTCTACTTTTAAACAGTAAATACTCAAAATGTATTGAAAACAAAAAAAATAAATGTCCAATTTTAAGAGAGGACACACACACTGCACTCCAGACTAGGTACAGTCCCTTCCATTGTCCACACTGACCTTGTCAAAGTGCTTCTGCTTCATTGTTTAAAACTAGACTGGGCTATATTGCATAACATGTCAGATAAAAGTGAGGTTACAAACAAGGCAGGGGGGTCCTATAACAAAATGGGTGACTAATGCACAAATCTCTTGACAGACACAAATTCGCATGCAGGTCAGCACTGCTGGAAACCATTTTCTGTCTTGTCATATGCAGTGCTGTAATCTGTTCTGGCATTAGGCTACGTTCACACTTGCCCACAGTCTGTGGACTAGTTGCAGGTGCAGGAATCACAACTATTCCCACATCCAAAACCACCCCCAGTGCTCTTATGAGATGGACAGGGCTGCCATTCGTTCTGAATGTCACCCCGTGTTTCTCAGCCCACAGCACATTTGCGGGTTTGGGAACCACATAGTCAAAAAAACCATGCAGTTTCCCTGCGTTTTTTTTAAAAAGCACATTCTTTCTGCTTGATACATGAGCACAGCAGCCCATTCAAATGAATAGGATACCACGCCCAAGCAAACGTGGCTGCATGGCCCGCAGTACTGTGAAGCTAGATTTTTAAAGAAGTCAGAGTGATAGAGATGTTACTATACAATCTCAAATCATCGCTACTACTGGTGGCTGAAGTCCTCTGTGGTGATATACATGCTCCATAGTCTCTGTACTCTACAATAGCTGGGATTTCATGCAACACTTTTTGTTGTAAGAGCATTTGTTAATTTTTCTAATCATTAGTGGGGGTCAAATTGATGTTAATTTTCAATTGTAATAATGAGAAAATTCCAAGGAACAGGATGGAAACTTTTTCCTGAATGCACGAATCTCAGTGTGTGATTTTCATTCAGTAAAGTCCATTCATTCCAAAATCAAATGTTAAAAGCAAACAAAACCTTTTGAACGACATTCAAATTTGTACATACAAAATTTTACTAGTGTATAGCCAGCTTTAGCCATAGAACATGATCACAGGGTAAAGGAAGTCAGATATACACAGGTTCTTAGTCCAGGCAATGCAGACTTGTGCTGTCCATGGGTACAGAATCATTGAGCTGTGCGCTCGCAGTCTGCATTTAACACATATACATTCTCTCACCTTTTGTGATCCTTGTACACTCTCCTCTGTAGTCAGGAAGGACTGGTTCCCTATTACACCACATGTGATATGTATCCTTTCAGTGGAGCAGCCCACACTGAGAATGACTAAGCAGAATGGGTGTGTGCAATCCTGAGCCCAGTGTTCTCCCAGGCAATGTGTGTGCTCAGGAGGTGGTGGGGGAGCGCATTGTGAGCTGTGTGCTCCTGTCCATTCACAAACATTCCCTGTGACACCAATAAACTAGCCAGTATATTCCCTTTAGACTTGGAAGACTAAGTATACACTAGTAGAATTGTTGTAAGAATGTTGTTTGTTTATCTAATCACGAGTGGGATCAAATTGCTGTTCATTTTTGACCATGGTGATGAGAAAATTTAAAGGAGCAGGATGGAACATTTTTCTTGACTTGTAAGAATTCCTAACAGCCTAGGTGACTTTTGTTCAGTAAAGTCCATTCATTCTAAAAGCGGATGTTACAAGCAAAAGAAATCTTCAACTACTTTTAATAACAGTTGAATGTTCTGAGAATATTTGTACATATTTCCCTAAGAATGTTCATATGAATAACATATAATTAGCATCTAAAGCTGTATATTTTAAATGATATGCACAACGCCACTGGCTAAAAGTGATGAGGCAT